GGTTCATTAGCTGCCAGTGTTCCAAGTTTCAAATCAATCGTATAGTTTTTCTTTAAAATATTGACATTTCAAAAAGCATTCTTTTTGTATACTTTTTCTCGTATTCTAATAATCGTAATTTTAAGCCTTCATAACTAAGTTTGTCCGCCATCCCTCACAGATCATGGTGAATCGCTCCAGTTTGCCATAATCAATTTATTATTATACGATGCCATACACAGGGCACGTTGATTTAAACGTGCCATTAACTTTCGAGGGCCATTAAATGAAATATAATTTGGTTGTTTAATACTTAAGCATAGAATGAATGAAGTGACGCAATACTCGTATGATTGTAAAGGTGTATCTTATTCCCATGGCAATGTAATATTACGTGATGGAGATGAGGTCATAGTCGATCATTCATTGGGTCAGCCAGAGCACATCAATTCTTACGTCGTGATTCTTCGACAGGTGTGAAAGCGTGCGAAAATATTACAGGTTAAGAGATGCATAAAGCAAATCTCTAATGTATATCCTATACTATACAATAGGTTTTAAGGATAGCATCGTAGGCTATTATGACTAGATAGATGCTTAATAATTTATTTTACTTAATTTCATTAGTAATATAGGCTTAGGAAGAAATCAATTTAATCGTCTTTAAAAATGTATACGTTATCTAAATATATTTAGTGGGCTATAAAGTTTTTTAATTGACAAAGTCAGCTAATTTTTCAAAAGAATATTTTGAAAAATTGATAAATATGCAAGTAAGTCACTTCAAAGCCTGCCATCGATATTAGAATTATTAATAAATGTGAAATTGTTATTGTTAATGAAATGGGATTCAAATCCGTGACCTTTGGCAATCCGGGCGACTCACGGTCATGGGTTCGAATCCCATCGCAGGGTGCCAGGGGCTATGTGGATTTTTTAAGCATTTTTCATTGTGAATGAAAAATTGATAAAATATAGTATACCTATATTTATTGCTTTATTCTATGCAATACATCATTATCTTTGGTTAATTTAAAGAATTAATGTCGTCTCATTTCCTCTCAAGGGCCATGCGCACTCTTAACAAACGTATGCAAGTATAACCTCTAACTAGAGTCTGCCATATGATACGATATCTTAGCGACACATTGGCGATATTTCATTTTATATTTTTGATATTTCATTGCATTTTACTATTTTGATAATTACTTCGAAAAAAATTATAAAGTCAAAGTCAAAGTCAAAATAATCTTTATTCAAATAGACTTCTTAAAAGTACTTTTGAATCGTCCAACATTTTTTCCCTACCACTCGTTCAGGACGTCTTTTGGCTGATAAGAAGAACGAGCAAGAAACTCACCAGCTCTAATATGAGTAATGACATTTACAAAAACCATGTCATTACCAGATCAATACATTATAAACAGAGATAAAAAAAAAACTATGGTCTTATAATAATAACATGATCATTTAATAATAATGGAAACAAGATAATGAGTTTAGAAGTAATCACCTATCCAGTTGGATCATCTCAAGTCCAAGCGTTCTTATCTGTTACATAATCGGATACCTTATAATAAGCTTTTTTAATAAGTATTTTTTTAATAGTAGATTTAAACTGCATGATATCTAATTGTTGTATTTTGCTTGGGACCTTATTGTAGAAGCGCACACAAAGACCCTTGAAAGAGTTATTAACTTTTTGCAGTCTAGTGACAGGCACCGTTAATTTATTTTTATTTCTTGTATTAAAATTGTGTACATCACTTTTTATAGAAAACAAACTAATATTTTTACGAACGTACATTAAGTTCTCGTATATGTATTGAGAAGCAACAGTCATAATGTCTATTTCCTTAAATTTCTCCCTTAAAGAGTCCCTAATCCTAAGATTATAAATTGATCGAATTGCTCTTTTCTGAAGCACAAAAATTGCTTGTATGTCGGCAGCATTTCCCCACAATAGGATACCGTATGACATAACACTATGAAAGTAACTGAAGTATACTAATCTGGCAGTATCTATGTCAGTTAACCTACGTATCTTCATTACGGCATATGCTGCAGAGCTAAGTCTACTCGACAATCTATCAATATGTGGGCCCCACTGTAGTTTAGAATCTAATGTTATTCCTAAAAATACTGTGGTATCCACAAGGCCCATGTTCTTATCTTTTACATTAACATTTATATCTACTTTTTTAACATTAGGTAGTACAAATTTTAAGCATTTTGTTTTTCCTTCATTAAGGAGAAGATTATTTACATTAAACCAATGTACTACTTTAGCGATAGAATTGTTCACATCGTCATTTAGAGGTAACCCTCTTTTACTTTTAAACAAGAGTGAAGTGTCATCCGCAAACAAAACTATTTCGTGATCATCCCTTACGAAATAAGGCAAGTCATTTATGTAAATCAAAAACAAGAAAGGACCAAGTATTGAGCCCTGCGGAACGCCCATCTTAATTTTCGATCCAGGGGATCTTTTGCCATTGATATCAACCCTCTGTACTCTGTCAATCAAGTATGAGACAATAAAATCCAATGAGTTATCTCTTAATCCATAAAAATGCAGTTTCCTAATCAATGTTTCATGAAAAACACAATCAAATGCCTTAGATAGGTCACAGAAAACACCTAACGCATCATGTGAATCCTCCCAGGCATTAAAAATTTCTTGTATTAACTCGACACCGGCTTCGGTTGTCGAGCGACCCCTTGTAAAACCAAATTGTTGTCGATTCATAAGCTTTTTCTTGTAAAAGTACGTTTGTATTTGATCCAGCATGATTTTTTCAAAAATCTTACTAAACGTAGGTAGCACGGATATAGGTCTAAAGTTAGTAGGGTCAGATGTGCTACCCGATTTATGTAAAGGAATAATTTTACTATATTTCATGAGCTCAGGAAAAATACCACAATCAGTACATTCATTAAATATATAAGCTAAGATTGGAGCTATTGTCTCAATTACCGATTTAGAAACTTCAATGGAATTACCCCATAAATCAGCAGTTTTCGTTTTCTTTAGCTGATTAAAAGATTTTATTATATCTTTAAAATCAATGTGTTGAAACTTAAATTGGCTATTAGAATTATTTAAACTTGCCTTTAAAATAGATTCAGCAACAGTGGAAGAGAAATTCAAAGATTGTGTAATTAAGACTGGAATTTCAGTAAATAAATTTTCAAATACTGTAGCAACTTCAAGATCTGATGTTACTTTTTTATTATCAATGTTTAAATTAAAATTTATATTCCGGGATTTTTCTCTTCCAGTTCCACTATTTATGATATTCCACGTCATTTTAACTTTGTCTTTACTATTTTCAATTTTTGCATTTAAATAATTACATTTGGCTAAACGACATAAAGTATGATGATTGTGGGTTTTATAGTTGTGTTATCGACTTAATCATTTATCTACCAAAACTAATATCAAATAAACAAAACAAAATATCGCCATTAAATTGCTATGAAATCCGAACTCTCTAGCCGTATGATAATATGCCATATAATATGGCTAGAGAGTTAGGTGGTCGCTCCGTATACGTACTTTTAAACCAATTTTAAAAATATATCAATGAGAATAAGACAGACGACGAAAAAGTCCGACATATACCCATTTTAGCAGTAAATACAGAGCCTCGATTGACATATACATTGAAGTTCTTTTGGGATCATAATTTCGAAGTCACGACCGGTAACCAGTTATATATAAATAAGTAAATATCTTTGACCTGTTTTCTTTTTTTGTTTTACTTTTTTTTTTCAAAAACTCAATTTTAACTAAAAAAAAAGAAAAACAAAATTGTATTTCTTAAAATTGAAATTTAGTTTTAATGTAGGTACATTAATAATATATTTCAATCAATGAATGGAGAACTAGTACTTAAGAAGGTAATGTCTTATCTTCAGAACGACCTTAACAGATTCGTTTATTTTTAAATAAATTAATAAAAATTCATCAAAAAAGAAATCAGTCACACTTCACGATTATGGCCCTCTTGTATCTCAACTTACATTCATATACAAATACATACGTACATTTTAAGTCACAAAAAAAAACAAATGCGTTCATGTTTTTTTTTGTATGCTTTGAATTAAATCAAAACCTATTTTTACCCGGCTTAAAGGAGGGAGGAGAGTTTAGCGAAAAGGAGGATTATTATTTTGACCGGTATGTATAATGTAAGAACTTCGAATCTCATTGTAACTGTGCAAATGAAGTATCATTAAAAGTGTCTCAGTTTTCCACGTGCTTTAGATTATGTGACGTTACAGTAAATTGGCAACATCACCCTCTCGAGAGCATAAAGTAAGAAACAAAAAAAAATATTATTCAATCATTCCGTGTACGGTATCAAATGAAAGGGCTTAACTTGATAGCTTTTACTTACGATTTTATTTAAATTCACCCGAAAACTAATTAAATAAAAATAAGTTCAGAAACTAAAACCCGACTACAGCTAAATCACGCTCTAAAAATTTTTAAACTAGAAATATATACCTATTATAGCGATAGCTATATTATAATAGCTATGACAAAAGGACAGCGTAGTCGTATGCTACTGATCATAACAAAACAAACATAGTTGTGGTCGAGTTTTATTTTTTAACTCATGTTTTATTGTATATTTTTTTTATATAGTTAAGACGAAATATATTTGTCGTAAAATCGATCTAAAAACCTATTTAAATATATATAATTTTTTTTATATATCCCTATGATATTTTTGATCTATGATTCTATTTTTTTTTTAAATGGTTTAAGAAGTCTTAATTTCGTACAATGGGAGAAGCTCAATACTATATTTTATAGTACCGTTGGCAACATAAACTAATATGGAATCATGATGTCCAATCAAATACTATCAGGTCTAAATGTAGCCAATAAAAAAGCATGAGTGGATAAAATAAAAGCTAATAATCTATAATTTAAGTTCAATAAATCACTTAGAAAGTAAATCTTCCGATCCAGATGTTTCGCCGGTTCGGTCCATAAACTCGGATTACGAATGCGCGGGCGCATGCCACGCCCTCTAGCGGATGTGGCCGGTATTGTTCTCAGTTTGCATTCGATCAAACATACGGTTGCTGTTAGTACTCACCTCCAAATAAAACCGTCACGCTACTTAATTCGTCAAGGTGAACCGTAGAAGGCACTACCTAATAATAATTCAGAATCTGTAGGCGAAATCAGATAATCTCATTAAGTGATAAATGAAACAGACCTTTATAAAAAGCGATTGCTATTAAGATTCAATTATAAATGATTTATATCGCAACCAGAAGTCGTAGCTTCATATAAGTTCAATTTTCCCACATCATCCTAAACTATGAATAAAGGTAGGTATATTACGACGGGTTCGATGCTTGGGCCAATTAATAAAAGGCTGACTAGCTTGAGAATGGATTTATTTATGGGATAAAGAATAAAGTAAAGAAACTGTAACAAACAAAAAATGAATATAAAAACAGTTCGTATGTTTAACTAAATATAAAATTTAAAATTACGAATACATACCCCTTCTTGGGTTTCTTGATAAAAACTTAAATCGTCCAAGTTACAGAATACACATTATTAAATTTTATAATTCCTATTTGAATCACTTATTCATTATTATTAATAAAATTTTATGTTTAAATTCATAATATATTTGATTCACATGTTACAACAGATGATTTTTTTAACAACTGACATCCATAAAGAGTATATTTGAAGAGCAAAAATTTTAAATTACGAAATGTGAATAATTAAAAGAAATGATGTTGAATATCAAAGACAAAAAGTTTGCATATTTAAATCTAGGAAAAATAAACGGTGGTATTGCACACCGTCACAAATGGAGCAACTTGTGAAACATATCCTTAATGTTCCGAAACAAATGTAACGGAATCTTTTACAACGCTAATCGGTGTTTAGAGATCACTTGATTAAATTATATGTAGATATTTTTTCCGGGAATAAAATGTAGTCAATTAAAAGGTGATAGATGTAGAAACAAGAAGAAACGAAGAGTTCTAAGTGATATCTTAATACTTAGAGACACGTTGCGCGCACAAATATGCTCGCAAGAGCAAGCAAGCAATGCGACATATCCCACACTGGAGAATATTGTTACGTCACATAGACACCTATTTGTTTATTATTATTATTAAAATTAGCAAGAGGAACATAATGGTTACAAGATGGGCAGATATCCGATAGTTGTTACTCTATTTAAAATAAATAATTTAATTATATGACAGACACACACTACTAGGATGTTCACATTGAAAACTAAGTAGGTTTAATATAGACTACGTGCTATGCGTCAGATTAGGCTAAATCTTCTTAATTAAACCGAGGCTTTATAAAGTATTAATATGGAACCTACTTCAAATTTTAAAAAGCGAAAAATAATACTTTTCTCAAAAGCGGTTAATTGAACTCGGGCTGAGGTTATCTGTAGTTAATATAATATTAACCCGAATTCAATGTTTCTTAAAAAAATTTACCGCTTTTAAGATAATATTATTATTCACTTTTTTAAATTTCTAATCGGTTCCGTTTTTTTTAAGTTTTTATTTCATACATTTCAGTGATATTTTGAGTTTTGGGGTAAAAAAGGTCGATACTTAATGCCATTGTTATAAGGTTGCAAACAGTAAAAAATACAGTCGAATCGAGGACCTTCTCCTTTTTTATTGAAATCGGTTAAAAACTATGCCATAATCGACTATAACCCTATAACATCTTACGCTGTTGTAACAACAAATCGAAAATCAATAAAGATAATTATTTAAATGTGTTATTAATTTCTCGAATATCTGACGCCGGGTCATTAATATAATTGGGAAGCATTTTGTGGGAAGTTTTGATGGAACAAATGATGCGGTCACACGTTATTAATTAATGTTAAACAATGACATATAGTGTAGTTTCGTCGCCCCTACCATTAAACATTCAATTGTTTTTTAATAAAAAGATATTTCGCGATTGTTTGGTGGCCATCGTGATACGACTTGACCCCAATATAAAACTAAGTGTAATAACAGCAACAGATGAAGTTGGCTTAATTATTTAATAAAACAACTTCAAAAAACTTCTGAGTGTGTAATTTTTAACTTTTAACTTGTAATATATTATCTATACATTTGAAATGAAAATATCTTTATTCAAATAAGCTAAAAAAGAATATTTTTTCCCCTACCACTTGTTCAGGACGTCTTATAGCTGACAAGGAGAACAAGCGAAAGAAACTTACCAGCTCTTTATCATAAGTAATGACATTTAAAAAATCATTTCATTACCAAAGTAATATGTATTATCACAATAATATACACAACTTTTAAAGTCTGTAGGTCATAATTTGTACATATAATTAGTCGTTATAGAACAAAGCGAAGGCTATTAATTCCATGCATTGCGGTCCTTAAAATTGCACGTAGGGTTACGAATCGAATGCTAATATACACTGATCTGTCAAATTTTTATAGAGATTTCCAACTTCAAGGTTCTGTGGGCAGTATTTAATATCGACGGTAGAAATTCGACATATTGTGGTTATCTTGCATGATTATTTATTTAACCATTATCGCGACATAGTAAATGGCGGATCTCATACCATACAGAATTCTCTACTAGTTAACCAGTAACGGTGTCTCATAAAAAGCACTACGGGTGCAACAAAGAAAGAACAAACAATAACGTTGATAAAAAATATACTTAAATATACACACATACATACAATACATATACATACATAAATAATTGTATGTTCGTTAAATCAAATTAATTTTAAAGCTATTCTTAATCGATTAAGCTGAAATTTTTAATTTGTTTATTATTATTATTATTATTTTTTTTTATATTGTATAGAAACAAATTGTTTCACAAGATAAACATATCATAATAAGCATAGATACGAGTATAAGTTCAATAACTAATACCACACTATAGCTAAAAGTGTGGTATTAGTTATAGAACTTATAGCTAAAAGCCACTCATAACAAAACAAAAGACTACGCTACGTTGTGACTACGCTGTCCTTTGGTCATTGCTATTATAATATGGTTATAGCTATAAAATATATTTCTTGTTTCAAACCTTTTAGAGCGTGATTTATTTTTTTATTTAATTAATTTTCGGGTGTATTCAAGTGAAATCTCCTTTTCGCTTCGCCGTAGTCGGGTAGTAATGTAGGTGCCCGTAGAGGTAAAATAATTCTTTCAAACAAACATTCACAATATTTCCTATTGTTAAAGATCTAATGATAGCAAATTTCGGTTTAATCCTGTCAAATTGCGTTTTCAATTGTGAAAAGAACTAATTAAAATTCTTTGATTACATCATATGACTAAATAAAATAAAAGAAACCCAAATAAAAGTTATTATTTTTTTATTTTTTAGTTTAGTTTAGCGAATGATATGACATAATTGGCACCTGTTTGAGACTATTAGAAGATAAATCAAATACAAAATTCCTCGCTAGTGACGTAAGTGTAGGCGCAGACAGCACCGATGTATAATAATAATAAATATCGCAGACGGCCGTAAAGCGACCGAATACGGTTAAATTGCCATCGCAATTTCTTTCGAAACTATTCATATTGTTTATGTTTACTATCTTTTTATAAATATACAACGCTTATATTAACCTTTTGTTATTATTTTTTGCAGCAGGTATTGACTATTTTTTTATCGGTAACATTGAAAGAGGCTATAATATTTCTAATGTCTCTAATTACAGGGTATTTGTTTTTAAAATGAGTCTTGCGAGTACTTTACTATGCTGTAAGAGAATTTTAAATGTTTTTACTTTGTTATCTATTATTTAATATTAGGGCTTGTTTTATGTCATTTAAATATTATCATATGTGAATATATATTATATAGAAAGAATATAAATATATTATCAATTTTTGTTGAGGCTTCATTTATAGGTATGATAATTACATTTATTTTGTATAAATAAGAGAATCATATTTTATTTTATTGTTTTACAGCCCGTGGGCATCTACCGGGGGAAGTACGAGTGGGCCAATGAGAACAGTCCAGTTGGTGGAGACTGCTCACTGTGGGTGCGATCGGCTACTCTGCAATTAGACGATGGCCAGTGGCAATGTCAGGTCACGGCTAGCAACTATGATGTACAGGTGTGTTCTCAAGATCATTACGCAGTCAATACTGAAACTGTAACATTTCTCCACGCGATTCTTATCATTTACGTTGCTTGTGCACAGATATATATATATATATATTTTTTTTATGCCTGGCCTACAATATTTGGCCGAGCCCTACGCTGCACCCCACTTTGTAGCAGGCCTTTTCAATTTCTATCTTCACATTCATTCCAGTTCTATCTGTTTTTCAGTCTTTCATTCTTCATTCCTTATCTTTCTTTTATTCTGTTCCTCATTTACTCCTCGAGCGACCAGGGCCATCGCATCTATTACTACTTCTCCTACTCTAGTTTGTTCTATGTTTTTATTTATTTCTTTATTAATAATTTACCCATTTCCTTCTTTATTTCTATTACATTTTTTCTTATTTCTATCTCTATATTATTTATATTTATCTCCTTAGTTACTTATTTTACATTTAGACCTTTATTTACAATTCTAATTGTGTTGTCTTCTCACTTATAATTCATGTTATTGTACTTTATTTTAATGTTTTCTTTTTATTTCTATACATTTCTGTGTGATAGTATTTCTTACAGTCTTCAATGTATACATTATATTTAGTCTCTTTCTATTCAGTTCTAGTAGTACTCAACTTTTTATTACAGGGTTCTTTTACTTAATGCTAATTTACATTTCCTTATTTCTATTACATTTCCTTACATTGTAGTTCCTTTGTTTATAATTCTAGTATTATTCTAGTTTTTTAGTTATATAATTCTCTTACTTAATGCTATTTACATTTCTCTTAACTCTATTTCTTTCTCCTATTTTATTTCCTATTTATAATTACTTGGTATATCTAATTGTAAGTTTGTCTTATTCTATTTATTTAATTTTCCTCCATGTGCACAGATATTAAATTACTAACAGTAATGTTTAAAATATAAGGACTATATTTTCTATGTTCAAAACTTCTGGAAGTCGCTTCTTGATTGTCAGCCAAGATCCGAATAAATTGGATTGAGATTGAAGCGTATGATCCGGAATTTCATAATTCTACTAACCGTCGCGATTTTACATTCGTTCTCTTTATAGAATTACCATCAGTCACCAAAGATTAAATTCTAAATCTAATTATCCTCATATTAATTAAATTTCACGAAGCTTTTCACAATATTTCTGCAATAAAACTTTGTTAACGTTTCAGGATGCTTTGTCTAGTCCTCCAGCGGCATTAGCCGTTCGAGTTCCGCCGCAGTCACCGAGAATCTTGTTCAATGGCTCTCACATATTGCCTGGGCAGAACATTACAGTTCCAGCTGGCTCCAGAGCCACAGTTGTCTGCGAGGCACGTTACGGCAACCCACCTGCTTACATTGAATGGTATTTAGGTAAGATTCAGTATTCAGATTTGGCAATTCGTCTAGTAATCGATTCTGAATACAATGAAAATGGGTTATCTTAGATTAGTCTACATAAAATGCTTTTATCTGGGAGCAACGTTCTGGGCTGGTTTAGTTGTCCACCGAATTTCTTAGGATTCAAATTAATAATTATTTAAACATTGTGATTTTCATCCATAAAGATTTTAATATTCATCAAGATGAGTAAAATCATCTAACAACTAACATTTATAAATAAGGATTTCTAATCATATGGCTCAGGTGCTTGGAGCCTTTGTCATGCTCTTGCCTGAAAAGGGTTTAATTTAGTTAAAAGTTGGTCTGTTATATGTCAGATAGCTTGTTAGATAAAGTAAATTACGGAATATGATATATATTCTATTACGTTAATATCATCAAAATTATGTTAAATGAAATTTCAAAATTTCAGAAAAAGAGCGTCTTACTGCTTGGAGCCAGACTAACGCATCAGAAGTAGAGAGACCAAGAGTATGGGCCTCCAGATCAGTGCTGGAACTTGGAGCGACCAGGTCAGCGCATGGCAGACAGTTGGCCTGTAGAGCTCACCACCCTTCGTACCCTGCGCCATACTACAAGGACTCATACACCATGCTTGATGTTACCTGTAAGTTTATTTAAATAATTATGTTATTATTTTTTCTAAAAGTGGGTAGGCATTCGCACCTGAAATAATGTCTCTTGCTGCTTGGTGTGTCGTAACTTCATAGTTGCTTATTGCATCATTGCCGAAAGACGTCGTTGCTGGTCAAAAAGATCCTGACGCTAAGTCCAAAGATTGGTCTAGGCATCTCTTCACAAGCAGGTGGTATAGGAGAAGCAGCAGTCCGGCAACAACTCGTCCCAACTCTCTGGAGATACTAGGTCATCACCCTCCCTCAGTCTTTTCTATCCTAATGCTTGGTTTCTTAAAGAAAGAAAGGTTGTACGACATTAAGTTTTAGCAGTCCATGAGTAAGCAGGTAGCGCATACCTCTTATTAGTGTTTTACACGAAAAAGGAATTGGCAAATTAGTTATTGCGACCAGGTACCTGGATATTTTTTTTATTATTTTAAACTTGATTTGGTTACCGGTGCCTTTTTGTCTGTAGTAGCATAGAATCCGTATGATGCATTTCTTATAAATAAATATTCATTACCTCGTTCTTTTTCAGTTGCTCCTGTCGTGTCTATAGTAGGAGCAGACACTAGCTCCTTAGGAAGCCTAGAAGAAGGTTCTAGTTCACTAACGTTGGAATGCAAAGCCGACGGTAACCCCGCACCCTATATTTGGTGGACAAGAAATGGCCAAGTCATTGCTACCAACGGACCCAAACTTATGTTAGCCCCGGTCATGAGAAATCATTCAGGTATGTATGATATGTATGACTCACAGAATTAATTTTTTATATAAGGAGGTTACACATATGTCAATCTTATTTTGTTTATGGAAATTGTAGTAGCCATTTTTCATTATGGTTGTTTGGTTGTAATCAAATCCGTATCCCATTAAATATTAAGGATAATAGATTAATTTTAGTTAAGAGTTTTGTATACCCTTGTAATCTAGAATAGATATAATGTTATATACACATAAAAATAGATAAAATACTGGCCAATACAGAAAAAAAGACCTTACTAAAAATATTATTTTACATTAAACAAAACTATTTAAACGGGTGTAGCGCGTAGACCCCTACATATTGTTTTCACAATCCATCACTATTCTTGTCACAGTTTGTTTTTTCAAGACAAGACTCCCGAATTTGGACCTAGGGGTAATTTATGGTAGCTAGGGGTAAATATACGAACAATAAATTAAATTAATCAAATATGCTTTTAATAATAATTTAATTTAATAAATGTAAACGTTTCTATAAAATATAATTGAACCTGTAAAGGGTCCGAAATATCATAAAATCAAATATAAAAGCACTATACCCGTTTAAATAGTTTTGTTTAATGAGTAGAGCGCGTGAAAATATAAGAATTAGTAATATTTTACATGCCTTTAAATAGATTTTAGATTTATATACGACCTCCGTAGCCGAGTGGTCCGCACGCCGGTTTCAAGGTGTCGTCATATCTGAGGTCCCGGGTTCGAATTCCGGTCGGTTCAATGTACAAAATGAACTCCGTTATCTCAGATACTTCATAATACGGGCTTTAGCTACTCTTCTTGGAATCTGAGCAATATCTATGTGATGTTGTTTAATATTTGAAACTGCATTATGACTTTTCTCAAAACATCTTTATATATATGTACGAGTATATATACTAGTTTTCCGCCAGTCTTCCGCCAGTTTTCCGCCAGCTTTTCCAGTCTTGTATAAACCATAAAAACCTTTCTTTTGAATCACCCTATCTATGAAAAAAAAACCGCATCAAAATCCGTTGCGTAGCTTAAAAGATTTAAGCATACATAGATATAGGGGCAGAAAAAGCGACTTTGCTATATAATATGTAGTGATTTAACTTTTCAGGAATTTATGGCTGCCAAGCAAGAAATTCTCTAGGGACATCGGACTCTGTCAAAATAGAAATCGATGTCAAATGTAAGTATTTATGCAACAATCAGCTTTTGAATTCCAACTGGATATTCTGACAAATTCTGTTTATTCTATTGTACGAGTAATATTAATCTGTAGCCTCTTTTTAGATCCACCTCGAGTGACATGGGTGGGACCGGACACAGTTGTAGAAGCGAATTTGTTTTCTCAAGTAACTTTAGAATGTAAAGCTGATGGAAATCCTGCACCTTCTTATCAGTGGTTCCATAAGTAAGAGAATGCTTTAATTATAAATATTAGATATGTTAATACATGATTCACTTGCATTAGTCCCAATTTCATTTTTATCTGGAGTCCTCGCAAACTTCTTCCGTATAGCACGGTCAGCCATCAACTCAACATTTACCTACCTTCCGTTTCCTATCTCCTATTTCTTTCATATATTTTCTATCCATATTTCCACAATCTTATTTTTTTTTATCACCAGCATGTCACCTTGCTCTATTATGTTGTCTTTACCATCTATGACTTTCGTAGTCGAGTGGTTCGCAAGCCGGTTTCAAGTTGTCGCCATCTCTGAGGTCGGGTTAAATAAAAATTCACTTGGTCTTTGGGTTGTGGCATCTTCTTTGCTCAAGAATACTCCATAATACGAGGGCTTTGCCTACTTACATGGGGAATTTGAGCAATGTATGTAATAATCTTAATCTGTTTGTTTTATATATACGTAATTATTTTCAGCCCGACACCTTCAGTCCATATAAACTCTATACCCGAAGATGGATTTCCAGTATCGACGACACCACAGCTACAGCTACATAACGTATCGTACAATCAACATGGCCGGTACTCTTGCGTCGCTATCAACCATATCGGAACAGAAGAAAGGTAAGCTATTTCACAAATCGGAATCAGTCTGGAAACGATGCGTACTAACCAACTTTCCAAGGTTCTTGAAAATAGATTGTTTGTGAAAGTGCGTTTTTAATAAAGACTCATTTTCAGTGTTTACAATGGATTAAAAAAAAAGCGCTTTATGAGCAACTGCATTGAAAAAGAGGTTTATTGTTATGTATAGGAGCCACCAGTCGGAGGGCGTGACGGTGAACGTGCTGGGCCCGCCGGTGGGCGCGGAGGCGGCGGGCGCGCACGCGTGGAGCGGCGCCGAGGCCCGCGTGCGCGCCGCCGTGTGCGCCGACCCGCCGCCGCGCCGCGCCGCCTGGCTGTGGGGCGCGCTGCGGCTGGACGTGCCCTCGCAGATAGGTGTGTATCGACGCTCGAAAGTATTCTCGGATACCGTAAGTGCAGTGTGTCGCCGTCTTTACGTACAATAAAATCAAGTGTAGGGTACATATGAAATCATTATTACCGGATTACCCTCACGCCTCAACTAAAATCAGAAGACGACGCCCGCCAGTTCTCCAGTCTCCTCGTGACCACGGCTGCTGTAACGTAGCCGAAACGTCGAGGTAAATGATAGTTTTAAAAAAAATGCACGAACAAGACCCGATTACATATAATTATAATAAACACGTAGTAACACGCATAACCAATATTGTTCTTCGGACTGGAAAAACTTTTATTTTTTTCGATTAATAATTCCTATAAACGTGCATGGTAACAAATAAGGTGTTCCTTAGTCAATTTATACGGAAATAAGTTTTATTTTCCACTCTAAATATCTATTTTGGTTTTGCTGGTTACTACGTGTTTGCTTTCCAGCGTCGATATCTACACACTTTGGACTATATTTCACCGCGACGCCAACGCCAGTGGTGGTACTGGTGGCGGCCGAGTGAGTGAGGTACCATACAGCGCTATAGTAATTAGTGGTGGCGCAACTAGTAACATTTTGCGTCGCGCCACCAAGTTAGTTGCGCATCCAGATGGACACCTGATGAGTAACTCTCTATAGAGCTGTATACATTTTGTTTGTAGTGGCTACTGGTTGCGCCACCATGGTGTCCCGGTGAAATATAGCCCTTAGGACGCTTGTGCACTACACTTAATTTTCGGTGCCGGCGCGGCGGTCCAATTTTTTTCGGTCCGGAATGAAATGAAAAACCCGGTTGAGTAGCTTATGCACATGTCCATTTTTTACGGATCGGAGCGGCGCAGTTAAGTGCAGCTTTCTTTGAAGCTACATGTCGCTTACGCTAGGTACGATGAGATTTTTGGAACGTCGGTAATTGCTTGCCTTGTTACTCTACGTGCGAAGACGTAGAAGACCGAAAAAATATTGGGTTCATCTCCTTATAAGTGAAAGGTGAAGGTGAAAATTCAGTGTAGTAGACAAGCGCTCTTATGCCTTGATCACACGTACCGAGCAAATCGGCGACACAGTACTCTCGGCCGAGTACTCGGTACGTATAGACATAGCACCGAGTGCACGGCCGAGCGATAAAGGTCGTGACACAGACGCCCACGATTCGCATTTAGGGTTCCCACCCGTCCTGATTTTGGATGGCCATCCCAATATAGATATTGTTTCTCAATAGGTGACAACCCTGTTTGCATACGCATACGCATACGATTACGCCTGTGTACTAACGGCGTTACCATATGCCATTCGAGATTTCCCATTTGAATCTTACTACGCGAAAACCACTTGAATTTCACATTTTACCGTAACCATGTCATTGTAAGGAATCTGCTAAAACATTCTATTCGTTTATACGTACCTAGTCTGTTTCCGTTCATCATTAATTTCCCTTTTGTGCTGCACGGTATCCACCAATAGGCGGCGTTGTTTTCACGCTGGTATTTGCGGACCAATCAGAACGCGGTCGTCTTTTAAAATTAGTGCTTATTTCCGAGGGTGGAAATTTGAAAGTTCATATTGCGCAGAAGTCGTGTGTTTTCCAAGGGTTTTCAAAATGTGCATAGACAATTATCTAAATACGAGATTGACTTCCTTGCTCCCAAGAATTGATAAGTGGTCATAGTGAATAATGGCCCAGCAGCATAACAATTCAAGGAATGCTATGTCTATTAATTACCACTTTTCTCCGATATCCATGGAGAGTGAGATATCGTTGACATTGACATTTGACTCTAGACAAAACGTTCTTGCGTTGTCATGCCACGTTTGCTGGTCGGTAAACTTTATATCCGGACAAACCAGCCAGTTTGACCGGATATTTTGAGTTAACAGGCCGAAAACTCTACATTGCCAAGGATTGTCAACTTATCTAATCTGAATGAGTCCAAGAATCACTTCTATAACCACAACATCATATTCCCCTGCATTTGAACAAGTATTATAACCTTATTTTAAACTAGTTAACTATTCCTTTGCATCACAAAAGCTGTTCCATTTTGACAGTAAAAATATTTACAAATAGTAATCTTTGTTCAGGACGTTATCGCGCTTTGGAACCATCGGGCTCTAATGGGTGCTACCAGTACACTTTGCTGATAACCAACACCGCGATGTCAGATGCTAGAGTCTACGTGCTGCATGTGGAGAATGAAAGAGGATTCTCGTCTCATGCTGTCTCACTCACTGTACATGGTAAGTTTCATTGGAACCCGTATATGGAATATTCAAAACAATAGGGGTGAAGTAAAATTTTTAAAATATTTTTATTTTATAGATATATCTATAAAAATTTAAAAACGTATCAGTTGCATAATAAGTTAAAGTTCAAAAATATATTTAATTTTCAAAATTTCCAGTGAAAGCTCCTTCTTCTGTCATAGGGTCGCTATGATGTCACGCCCCTCTAAACTAATATCGTTCTATGTATGCTTAAGGTTCTTATATGTGTAGAAGAGCGTGACGTCACGCGTTGTTTGTACGTGACAACGAATATACAGTATTTGTTTTGTCATAATTAATTTAAGCAAAATTATCGGTAATAGTATAATAAGCATTACCAAAAAAATGTGTATTTATTATAACCGAAAATTTGTTCCTATTGATTATATAATATTATGAAAAATGTGTCTACACCCGTATTGCGGGAACGTCTTATTTTAGTGCCGCTAGGTGGCACTATTATGGTTGAGGTCATACAATTAGGCACAATTTGCATATAAAGCTGGTGGTATAAAGGTGAGAAAACGAGACTAAATTCCAAGGCCAGTCAATGATACAGTAGAATAATATATAATGACCGCTATAAAATATTTTGTCAGTAATTCATTAAAAATTTACAATTATAGAAATCGAGTTACGTGTTTATATTTTTTTCTAATGACGATAAAAAGATTTGTTCACACCAATGAAAAGAGAACGGGTATGCATTTGAAAATTAGCGATTGGTGAGTTTATGTAGTCGAAGAGTATAATTTTTTTCTTCAGACAAAAAAGAAATAGCTAGCACGCATTTTGAAGATAGCCCATGGTTATTTCATCATCCATACAATTAGTTTACGCTAATTTCAGTTCTATCAAGGCGATAGATAACATTATCAATTTCCTGTTAATGTTAATATCATTAATTGATGTGCCATATATTACAAATGAAATTCGATTTAAATATTTCTCTAGATGAAATCTTTTATAACTATTATTTTCGTATTGTTCATCACTTACTTAAGAGAGATAATTATACGTATTTTGCACACAGACACACCAGGTTATTACAAAATTTTACAATCCCTCATTCCATTTTGATCTCTACTCTTCATTTATTAAGGTTTTAAATTTAAATAGCGTAGTCAGACAGTATACTCGACGCCTGTACCCGACGTGCTGTTGACTGCACTTATTTTTGTGTCAGGATCACAATTTACTTAGTTAAATGGTAATCTGAAAGAACAAAAGTACTACAAATCCTAGATCCAATAATTTGATTTAAATTATCTCGACCTGAGTCAAACCTGGGAGCTCAGAAATGATTGAAAAATGACCTTGAAACGGGAGTGTCATAGAGCATAGAGGTCGTGTAGACTGCCGTTGACATACAAATAACAATAAAATCGTAGAGCAGGACGCAGGAAAAAAATGACTTAATAACTTTCATTGCGTAAGGACTAGTGGCCTGTTTTTTTTTTAAATATATCACAACTCCTTTCAAAGATATAGTGGTTGTGATAGCGATTTATGGAATTTTATAGGCTATATAGATATTTGTAACTATCACTTTGCTTAAACAATCCCGATTAACGTCAAATTTAACATTATGTTGAGAAAAAATGTTGAGATCGCAATATCCGTCACATGTAAAATAGATGTAGCGTGAAGCTTGTGAATGCCTTTCAAATTTCAAATTCAAAGTAATCGTGATAGATTTTGATATTATTCAATCAGCTCACTGTTCAAACAGGGCCGGATTAGCCACGTAACAAAATTAGCAAATAAAACTCAAACTCAAGTAACAAATTAGTTCGGAAAGCATAGGATGATTATTCTGATGATTTGCAACGGGCCTTTTTCTTGATTCAGCACTCTGTTCAAATGCCATTATGTTTATATAAACATGATTACTGTTTTACTAAGGACTGTATTTTTAATCAACATTTTTCTCCCGTTGTTGGCGCAGAGACAGCGCATGTGGCACCTCTGATTGCGGCGGCGCTGGTCATCGCCGCGCTGCTAGTCATACTACTCTGTCTCATCTTACGGTGCCGACGGAGGAGAGGTTTGTATACAATTAAAGATTATAATTATTCGATAATCTCCATACACCTATGCATGTAGCAGAAAATCATCTAAAGCCTGTTAAAGATTTTGATTTGTTTGTTTCATATTTTTTGTTTTTGTTCACAGAGAGCGTTGAATATAAGACTGATGACTTAGATAGGTGAGTGTTTTTTTTTTTACTAAAATTACATTTAAACTTAAGACGTCAGTAATTCTGTTGCACTTAGTTTTAAATAACTATTAAGATGTAAATAACGAAATTATCCTAAATTAACTTATTATATCCATCTAATATTATTAATGTCTATATTTCTTTATCTTCACGCCGTATCCTTGGTATATATTATAGAGAAGAAAATTTGAATTCTTTGTTTGTTTACATTGAAATTCATTCATTTACGTGAAGGCAATAATTTACGATGGTGAGACTACTAGTTACAGTATAGAAAAGTATAATTATATTATTTAGATGAAATATGGCTGGGTTAAATCGTTAAATCATACTTAATTAAAATTGATCTAGTTTAGTTAAGTTTAGAGATTTAACAACAGAATCTACACCATTTGCATAATAGCAGTAGCTATTTAAATTAACCATAACAAGTAACAATAAAATTTCACAATAACAATTGAAAACTTAGCAAAAGTTGTGTATGACCTCAACACAACCCAACTAAATAAGTGTACGCGTCAACCAGTGTTTATTTGTTAACGGTACTGATTGTAAACACAATGAGGAAGTATTTAAAAAAACGAAAGCATTAAAAAAGCACCACCACTAGATGGCGTCTCTAGCAAAAGTTGATTTTGCAGGAAACGAATGGATCAAACACAGTAATTTCCGTTCCTTTTAACTAACATATTAAAAAACTGAAATTTGAAAAGTTCGAAACTTAGATATCAATACAAATACGAAAAAGTACAAATAGACTATGAGTTGTTTATTGAGTATTGAAAACTTATTTATCTTTAAACGTGAAAGAAAACCGGAAAGGTTGTCATGGAGAAATCAAGAACATACCGTAGCGACATCTAGTTTTATTTCGGGAAGTAATGATTTTTTTTTAATACTTCCTCATTATGTCGCCAAAATGGCCTTCGGGTGCATTAGACATTGGCGGAAAATTATAACACAGTGTTTATTTAATTAATAACGTTACCTTTATGATTACAATAGTGAGAAGACAGTACTGCCGGCGGACGCAGTATACACGTCTAGAGAGCAACAGACAGCGCGGCCGCCACAGCCCAACCCGGCGGCGGCGGCGCGCAGTGCCGGCGTGACGTCACAGTACTCGCCCGGCGCGCTGCAGGTTTGCCGTGTCGCGGTCGTGCTGCAGCCCCCCACCACCGTGTGAAGTGTGCACAGGTGTGATGGCACTTACTAACTACTTGTAGCATGGCGGCGTGACGTCACAATATTTCACCGCGCTGCAGGTTTGCCGTGTCGCTGTCGTGCTGCAGCCATCCACCACCGTGTGAAGTTTGCACAGGTGTAATGGCACTTACTAACTACTTGAAGTATGGCGACATGAAGTCACGTCGTTTCACTGCACCTTTGCTACGTCATTATCGTGTAGTTAAATTTTAAAATCTCTCGCGTTCCCTTTCAAACTTTACGCTATAACTATGACATTGACAGCGATTGCAATCATGACTCAAGCATTACATAAGATTATAAAGCTATGTAAAGATTAGAATATACCAACGGCTTGTAATCCAGTAATTAATCAAATAAAATCTCAATCTAGCTCTGCGATTCAGTGAAAATACAAACCCGAGTTCGAATTCACTTAGGTGTCCAAATTCAATTGAAAAATCGGCATCCTCTCAACCTTGAAAAGTTACTTAATAACACTTCGTGACATAAGTGAAGTGAGTTTCGAAATGACATAGGAATAGAATATCTGAGACACGTATATTCAATCTCGTATTTTATACAAAAAATGGAATCAATACAATTTCCACACTAAATGACGTGAATTCGAATTCGGGTCTGGATTTTTACCGAATCGCAGGGCTGCCCTGCGATTCTGTAACAATCCAGACCCGAATTCGAATTCATTCATGTGTCCGAATCCTAGTCAATTAGTAAAGAAATTCTATTGATTCCATTTTTTGTATAAAAATACTAAACAAAATTGACTGATTAAACGTGTTTTGGATATTTTAATCCTATATCATTTCGAAACTCACTTAACTTATTTCACGAAACATTATTACCAATTCAAGTTTGAGCGGATGCTGCTTTTTGAAGTGAATTCGGACACCCGAGTGGATTCGAAATCGGGTTTGAAGTTTTACAGAATCGCAGGGCTGTTCACACATTGCAATTTGCCCGATGTTGCAGAACTAGAGATTCTCCGAGTGAGGTATCGGTAATGCAAAGGGATGTCCAAGTGTACTGTTAGTAGCAAATATTCAGTTAAGGTGTGTTTAAACCAAAAGATACGGTTAGTTCATTCTGTAAATATGAAATGAAAGGGAGTAATTCACTTTTCTTGTCGGAGTTCGTTTAGTCAATTCTTCTCAGATAAGACTCCCAAAGTTGGAACTGGTGGTAGTTAACGGTAGCCAGGGGTAAATAAATAAGTCAGATGTATTTTTTTTTTTATAAATATAAACGTTTCTTTAAAATATTAAATATTTGTATTGTAGATGTGTCCAATACTATTATTTTGAAGATGCACTCTTAATTAAAAAGGCAATCGACACCTTAGTCTTCTATGGACACGGAACCTGTAAAAGGTCCGACACGTCATAAAACTAAATACAAACGCGTCAAAACTAGTTTCATTTAACACTACTAAGTTTTTGTTTCTTGATTATACAAATCATCATTCGTTCCGACAGCGATGGCGAAACGTTAAATTCCCTTAATCGCTCTCACAATCGCTATAATTTTGAAAGGAATTGCGATTGATTTTTAAATTAGATATTTAGGTTACATATTCACCGCGTCAGGGCATTACTGCAGCGTCCCACCACTAGTTAAATTGTGCATTGCCACTTACTAACTTTAACAAGCATGGTGGACGGGCGCATCGTTTCGATGTTTCCTATAACTACATACATGTGCATATTTCATGGTATGACGTCACAATATGCACTTGACTCGCTACTGATTCGTCGTGATGCTGTGTCTTTAACACCGTCTGGCTTGTGGGTAGGGCTGATTGGCTTGCGAGATGATGAATTATCTGTATAGCTAAGTTGTCACTTGCATCACATATAGTTACAGCCCTACCACGACGTGACAACACAATTAGCATGGCGATATAACGTACAATATTTGCTCAATCCTGTAAATTTGGCACATTAGCACAATGATGCCGCTACCGTTTGATGACCCTAACTGAAGTATAGCATGTCATGCTGATGCTTGACCAGGACAATCATGATTCTTAATTAAAAATATATTGGTTTCGTTAACTTGCATGGCACCTACTAATAGCAATTTTGTTAAAATCACTATTAAAATTGTGATCTCAAGAAATATTTCTAGTCACTAAGATGTATTATATCACAAAACTAGCACAAAGAAAGAAAGAAAATGTTTTTATTGGCCTTCACAATACATACAACATTATAGAAAAAAAAGAAAAAACAGCACAAAGATATATTGGGAGGCCAACCAGGTGGCTCTCTCAGTGATATCTTTTGTAACAGTACACATGACAAAAGCACTAATATTCTGAAAGCCCCTACCGTAGAGTGCCGTACTCAGTTTAACCATATACTTAAAAACAACTTCAGTTGCGTTGTGTCCTTGCAATTGGTCACACCTGACATCTTTCAATTCAATTTGAAATTCAAAGATTCACGGGCGAATCACAATCCTTAAAAGTCTTCCTTGATACCGATTTAGAAACAAATATTGAACAGAAACATTCATTAACAGTAGGAAAAATTGTTGTTTTACTGCGTGTTGTTCCTTAACAGACTCATTTAGTTAATTAATAGATGTTATTGAAAGATTCGATGATCAATAAAGCAATAATAACAATCAGGGTTAATCACATGACATTGAATCTAGAAATGAAAAGAAAAGTATGATAGAACAAAATAGGTAAAATTACTTTATAATAAGACATTCAACCAGTTGCACAAACGTCCATTAAAATTGACATTAGTTTGGCCTAAAAACGGCATGGCCCATACAAATTTGACATCTATTAGAGCTTAAAGGCGTCATTAAACCTAAATGGACGTTTGTGCAACTGAGCGATTGGGTGTTAGAAAAACACATATTATGAATTCACAGGTACCGACCCCGCCATTTTGTCAATTTAATCAAGCGTTAGTGAAACGAAGTGAAGTTATATGGACACATTAATTACTTATAGAGATTCAGGCATAGCAATAGAAGGATTAGCGAGGGCTTTACCTATTTTTCAACGTAGTCTTTAACATTCCAATTAATTCAGAGTCACGCGATTATAAAGCTGATTAATTAAATGGCATTAAAAGTGGGTTCGTGACCGGAGAGAAAAATACATGTTTATAAAGATTTTATTGCTTGGTAGGATTTTGATATTGGTTAAAAAAAAATTATCATAAAAATTAAATTAATTATTATGATGATTTCTTTATTATAAACAACAATCGTTTAATAATTATACATACCAGACTTCTATGTCACCTTTGTAATAGAGTTGTCTACGCCCTGGTTTCATAGAATCTCCATCTTTGAGGTCCCGATTCGATTCCCGGTCGGGTCAATATAGAAAATGAACTTTTCTATATTGTCTGGGTATGGGAAATATAGAAACTTCGTTGTCTCAGATAATCCATAGTAAAAGAACTTTACCTATTCATCTTAGAATCTGAGCAATGTACGTTATTTTGTCTAATTTTTACAACTTATATATATTCATCCAATATTTCAGAATCACGTTTAAATTCTAAACAATCGTAATGCCAAAATATGTGTAATGAGTACTAATTTAAAATTAATATTATTTCTTGTTTGTTGTTAACAGGCAGCACTAAATTCACTGGAACGAGAAGCCAAAGAAAATGTTTACGCGGTCTTAGATCCGCATATTCAATACGAAGTAACAATTAATAAGCACGGAGAGCCGCCTAAGTATTTATCGCTATCGAGGCCCCTGAATCACCAAAGAACACATCACTTTAATCCCCAAGTCATAACTAATAACGAAATTAACAATAATGATTATTTCAATGAAAACCGGTTCTCAACATTTAAAACGGGTCCACCCAAAGCAAGGAGATCCAACAAATCCAACGATAGAAAAATCAGGACTTATGAAAGTTACGTTTGTAAAACGAACAATGATGTGGAATATTCAAAAAACCCGTTCTTTGGAATAGCAAGAGACGCTGAAAATAATATAGAGCCTTCATACCGTTAATTTTGATCACAACGAAAATATAAGTCCAAAGAATTACTCTAGGATGTATGAAAGAAACAATTCTAACAGAAAACATTGCAAGGAGGATCCTTTGAAGGCAGACGTCAGATATTCTAAGCGTAGCACAAGGGGACAAGAAGATTTAAAATATAGGAATCAACCAAAATTCAATGAAACTGATCGATCCTTTGATGAACTAAAACAAGTGGGTGATGCAAAATATGGTAACCCAGAGAACGATGACAAACCGAGACCAGGAAAAGTTAAGGAGATAGCATCCAAGTTCGATAGAAACTATTCTAATGACAGCAAAGATGCAGAACTGAAGAGAACACGGCCCAAACCGCTGCCCAGTTATGGCAATCAAGCTTATTTAGACCACGTATTCCCAGACGCCATAGAAATCTGAAATTTTATTGGACAATACTAAAGTGTATCGGTCACGTAGATCTCTGCTTAGTTCGTTGATAGTATTAATAATTGTTAATATAGTTAAATGTTAATAGTTAAGTCTAATTAATTTTAAGTTTAAACCTATTTATTAAAATATTACTGCCATAATACATAATTATAAGAACACTCGAATAAATAGGTAAAAAATTTCCTGAAGTCCTTTATTGATGATTATATACCCTTCTGTACTTAATGTACTTAGTTTGGGAGACGTTAAATACGATCCATTCTTAATGTCAATTCTAGAAATTAAGTTTATTTTAAATTAAAAGATTTTTGTAATAAAGGACTTCGCAATTAATTCCGTTCCTTTTGGGAACTATGTACAAAAATTATTGTTTCTATTAAGTGACTTATGGCTAAGTGTCACAAAGCTAATTGGATTAAGTTGAAACCATAGAACCAAACAATAATAAGAGCTACCTTGTCATATAACATAGCTTTTAGCGTATACACCAATTAAATACCATGACATAATGATATTATAGCACTCACTTATGATCTTTTGTAATATAATTTTGACGAATAATAAATTGATTATTTTTGTATGTAATTTTAATATGGTTTAATTATGTTTATCTCGATGTTCTATAATATTGAGGTTCGTTAAAGTTTTATTTTTCTGTGTATAATATCTATTTCTTATGTTTTGTATTGTTGAAATTGTAACAGTATTAAAAATGATAATACATCGTGGTCTTTTTGATTTTATACCACCTATTGATTTCGTATTTATAAAATAATTTGTCCAATAGTATGGTTTTTTAAAGGTAGCTATACTCTTATATAAAAAACAATCAACACCTTAGTCTCCTGGTAACACGGAACCTGTAAAAGGTCCGAAACGTCATAAAACGTGATGAAACAGTTTAAAAGTTGTTTCATTTATTCATACCATCTTTCAAATATTTAATTAGATCGTAATCTTAAATTAAAGCAGTCTCTGTTTTATATTATAACAACATCATAGATTGGTGACTTTAAATCCTTTGCAGTCTCTAGGCTCGGTTTTCACGTGTATATTTAATTGTTTACATCATAACAGCGCTTCTCTTCAGGCACTTGTAGATAAATATTGACTACAAATTTTGACGGCATGCTAAATATAGCGTAGGTTTCTTCATTTTATCGGTCAAGTGAATTAGGGTTCAAATAATTTATTTAAGAACGCTTCTCGCGTCGTATTCAATTAAACCCTGATATATATTTATCTGTAAATCATATATACGGATAACCAAACGTTATATATTTATTTAGTGTATATTTAGTACTACATGGCGATTGTCGACTTATAGACTAACAGAATCCAACACAACACGAATTTAAAGTTAAACAAAAATCAAATACGGCAGTTACTAACAGGATTTGATGTAATAGGTAAAACAACTCAATATTACATTATTAAAATAGTAATAGGATAGTATATTCTCAATAAATAATGCTCAATATATTCACCCTGTCCCTGGCACACTGAGATAGGAGATGGGCCAAGAACAGGGTGGATTTGTTGAACATTTTTCATTGGAAATATTTTTCAGTTAAGCATTATGTTACCTGATTCACAATGTACAATGAAAAAAAAAAGAACTGAAGAAATGGAATATTATGTAAAAAATAATAAACTTAAATAAATACTAACTTAACCATTATAAAACAATAAATATTAACTTTTTCCCTATGACTTTGCTCAAATTCATCAAAATAAAATAAAAAATCTTTTTTAGAGTCTATTGATCTTTATTTCAAGTAATCGATTATTTTGATATTATTTGAACAAAGCACGTATGCTTTGTTATAAATAAATCGTATGATACATTCATAATTATATTTAAAACATTTGTTATATATAACGTTCGATAACATGGAGCGTCGGTGTTGCGCCGGTATTTTATCAGTACAGGGCGTAGGCGTTATTTTGATTCATCTAGACTTATTTTACATAACACTGTAACGGTGCGTCGTACCACAGACCGTTTATTTGGTCCTAGGTATATTATATCCGCATGCAAACTTTTTGTCTTTGATCTTCAACATAATTTCTTTTGAAATTATGAGTAATCCAATATACTCTTTGTGTGTTAATAATAAACAAAGTTTAGCGTTAGAGTAAATTTATGCTGAGACCGCACTTAGTATTAGTCAAAATTCAAATTAATAAACAGAGACTTAGCAAAGGTTAACCCAGTAAAAGATTCTACAGAGTATTACTCCTAGAAAGTAGTATGTTTGCTTATTCTTTGTATAATATGAATTTGGACTATTACCGAAATTGTAATTTAGCGTAAATTTACTCTGACGCTCAAACTTGTTTATTAATAGCACTGTTTATGATTGTCAGTTCGTAAAAAATATTTGAGTAGCTCGGTGGCGTAGTGGATAAGCGCCGCGGCCCGCGATCGTAATCGTTAAGCAACTTTCGCAAGGGTCGGTCACGGGATGGGTGACCAAAAATTATTATCTCGAGCTACTCCGTGCTTCGGAAGGCACGTTAAGCCGTTGGTCCCGGCTGCATTTGCAGTCGTTAATACCCTCCAATCCGCATTGGGCCAGCGTGGAGGGTCATGGCCCATCCTCCTTAACCATCCATAAGGAAGGCCTGAGCCCCTGCAGTGGGGACGTAAAAGGGTTGGTGATGTGAAAAAATATTTTACCCATCCATACATACGACATAAGATTTTATTTAAAAATATTTATATGATCCGTTAAAACTAAAAATGCGTAAAGTGAATAACTTATAAAGTTTCAATGTTTTAAATAAATTATATATTTAAAAGGAAACCCAAAAAGGCTGTTTTTCTTTTACCCTCAAATAAATCAAATTTTTGAGCTTAGTTAGCCTTTTATTCATTTGCCTAAGCATCGAACCCATTACAACACGTTCCGAAAGTACTTTATCATATTGTAAATTGAGTTTTGCTTTCACAGAGATTATTATATATATATTTTTATTAAACCATAGACCTACTTTTTATATATCTCCTGTAGAGATATAGTGCAATTTCTATATTTTTTCCACATTATATAAGCAGCCAATTTAATATACATACAATAGAGAATAGAATAGAAATACAAAGATGCACATTTGTATTGAGTTATAAATTAACGCGATGGAATGAAAGCTTTTGAAGATTATTTACTTCGACTTTGAATGCTTGTTTATGCAATTCAAATCAGAATGTTATCAGAGCGAAACATAATTTCCTTATTATCAAGTTATTATTATTATTAGAAGACTAAATAATAATTATAAATTCTGAAGATAGGGATCACGATTGCCTTTCAATAGCTGGCAAAATTGACAGTCTTATTTTACATACTAAAAATTGCTTATTTAAGTTTTATCAAATTAACCAAACTGATTTTGAATCAACCGCAACAATTGCATTTTCGTAATTTTTCTCGTCTAAATTACTTTCAAGCCAAACAAAACTAATGACTTTTAATATACTTTTGTAACAAATAATAATTACATAATATTACTGCTTTAATTTTTTTCCATTCTGTAACTACTTAGGTATCAATGGTTTTATTCTATTTACGTCGTTTTTTCTTTTCGGGTAAATTCAATTAAAACTTAAGATGGTCTTTATCGTAAATTTACTCGATTTTACGACTTAGCAGAGTCCCAAAAGGTTTTTAATTACTTGCGTAATTAATTAACAACTTCATTTTCTAATTTCTAAATACATTTAACTAGATATATCTTATAAGGGTTCGTTTCTATTTCAAATAGATTGAAGAAAGAAACGATTTAAAGATAGTTATAGGTATTTATGACGACTTATATTCATGACTAGTTTTCCGCCAGGGGCTTCGGCCATATAAACTTCATCCCCCTATTTTGTCTACTTAGGGGTAGAATTTTTAAAAGCCCTTCCTTAATGCTGCTAATTTACATCATCCAAGGAACCCCTGTTCAAGTTTCTAAACTTGAAATTTGGTACAATTCTACTATTAGTTTAGTTTGACTTTTATATAGATAAATAGATAGATGTTAATATTATAAAGTAATTTCATATATATATATATATTGTTAATGACATGCCTTTTGCGAATGTGGTTGCTTTCATTAGAGATAGTGGGTTTCTTGATCGTTCTTCTTATCTCCCAAAAGACGTCCTGAACGAGTGTCAGGGAAAAAATGTTGGATGCTCGAAACAAATGACTTTTTCGACTTATACTTTTTGGAGTTCAAAAGGAAAGGAAACTAACTAACTTGTATAAAAATACTAGTTGTCTTCCCGCGACTTCACCTGGGTAAATTATACTCGCGAATAATGTAGCTAGTTATGGAGCTTTTTTGTTTTTTTTTTTGCCATAGAGAAAATGCGATACACACTATTCCTGCCGCCTAGTAGTATTGGAGCATATACAATATAAACAAACAAACATTAAATTCTCTTTATCTATAGCTTCACACCGCGTCCTTTGAGGGCTATTGTATAAATACAAAAATAGTGTTCTACTACAGTTTAAATGTCGTCTTACTAAAGAAATTCAATGTCGTTGACATTATAATTATAACTTCCTTGTTTTGTGACTTGCAAGTTTACTGTCAGTACAGTGCCGGATTAATGCGCGCAACAAATAAAATATATACAAGTACTTATTCCGTTGCTTAGAGAAGTAATGTCATATACTTCAAACAATAAGCTTTAAATGATGTCCACACAGAGTTTGATTTAAAAAAAAAGAAGGATCTTCAACGAAATATGTTAGTTATCAAAACTAATCATGGATTAATAATAGTAAAAAGTGAACAGTTAAATTATCACATTTGCTTCTTTGAGAAGTATAAGTAATCACTCAACGAGAAACTTATATCCACCTTATTCTAGTAAATTTGGAATACAGGCTAGTGATATAAATTACATTCTAATAAATAAATAATCTAATATATAATATATGCGAAAAGACTTTTTCAGCAAATAATATGTACCTTTTTAACAGACTTCAAAATCCAAAAGGAGGAGGTTATATGTTCGACGGCGATGTATTTTTTTATGTATGTTCACAGATATTTCCGCCAATTATTTACTGATTTTCAAAATTCTTGTTTTAATCGTCAGCTTAACGAACCTCTTTTTACTAAATTTCACCCAAATATTTAGTTGATATGGTAAGACATAGCCCTTTCCAGCTAAAAAACAAAAGATTGCGTATTTGGAATTGATTCAAAATCCGAAAAGTGATTTTTTTATGTTCAAAGAGTATGTATATTTTTTTATGAAAGTAGGCAAGTTAATCGATTTCTTCTTGAATTGTGAATTCAATTTCTATCAAACTAGCTGTTTCCCTGCGATTTCGCGTAAATTATAGCCTATGTCCGAAGCGTATTAACTAGCTTCCCATAAATGAAAAGCTTCCAGGAATCGGTCCAATGGTTCGGAGCCTATCCAATGCATACAAATAAGCAAACATATATTTCCTCTTTATATCAAAGTCAAAGTCAAAATAATCTTTATTCAAATAGACTTCTTAAAAGTACTTTTGAATCGTCCAACATTTTTTCCCTACCACTCGTTCAGGACGTCTTTTGGCTGATAAGAAGAACGAGCAAGAAACTCACCAGCTCTAATATGAGTAATGACATTTACAAAAACCATGTCATTACCAGATCAATACATTATAAACAGAGATAAAAAAACTATAGTCTTATAATAATAACATAATCATTTAATAATAATGGAAACAAGATAATGAGTTTAGAAGTAATCACCTATCCAGTTGCTGGATCATCTCAAGTCCAAGCGTTCTTATCTGTTACATAATCGGATACCTTATAATAAGCTTTTTTAATAAGTATTTTTTTAATAGTAGATTTAAACTGCATGATATCTAATTGTTGTATTTTGCTTGGGACCTTATTGTAGAAGCGCACACAAAGACCCTTGAAAGAGTTATTAACTTTTTGCAGTCTAGTGACAGGCACCGTTAATTTATTTTTATTTCTTGTATTAAAATTGTGTACATCACTTTTAATAGAAAACAAACTAATATTTTTACGAACGTACATTAAGTTCTCGTATATGTATTGAGAAGCAACAGTCATAACGTCTATTTCCTTAAATTTCTCCCTTAAAGAGTCCCTAATCCTAAGATTATAAATTGATCGAATTGCTCTTTTCTGAAGCACAAAAATTGTTTGTATGTCGGCAGCATTTCCCCACAATAGGATACCGTATGACATAACACTATGAAAGTAACTGAAGTATACTAATCTGGCAGTATCTATGTCAGTTAACCTACGTATCTTCATTACGGCATATGCTGCAGAGCTAAGTCTACTCGACAATCTATCAATATGTGGGCCCCACTGTAGTTTAGAATCTAATGTTATTCCTAAAAATACTGTGGTATCCACAAGGCCCATGTTCTTATCTTTTACATTAACATTTATATCTACTTTTTTAACATTAGGTAGTACAAATTTTAAGCATTTTGTTTTTCCTTCATTAAGGAGAAGATTATTTACATTAAACCAATGTACTACTTTAGCGATAGAATTGTTCACATCGTCATTTAGAGGTAACCCTCTTTTAATTTTAAACAAGAGTGAAGTGAACAAGAAATATAATGTTAACAGCAACAGAATAGACATTGGTTTTGAACCTTAATTATTCCAATATTTTATCACATTGTAATAGGATTGTTGTCACCAAAATGGGTCTAAATTATTGCAGTGGCAACTCTTTTGATCTCTTGTTCCATTTCAGACTATAGATTCAGCAATACCTATTTGAAAACTGGGTTTGAATCTGGAGCGTTTAGTTAAACGAGCGGTGCACTGTCAGTTATATTACTAAGTCATTCGTTATCAAATCATTACCGATTCTACCTATACCTCTACCGCGTAACTGAAGCCATGATTGATCTGTCTAAACGAAGCCTTGAATGATTGATCTGTCAAAATGAAGTCCTCAATATTTCATCTTAATACATCAAATTTTCAGCAGACCAAACGGTATTGCTCTGGGATAGGACTAATCAGGGATACAGTTCCGCGGTATCAGTTACTAGTAATCACATGTGGACACTCAATTATTTTTTCAACTATATTTCTAATTAAGATTAGTTTTGTAAATACAAAATTCACCATTTTTTTTTCTTATTATACTGCGTTTATTTCGATATAGAAATATAATTCTAAACAAACTGAACAATATTAGTACAGAAGGTTCCTATTAGATTTTTCAAACGCTTGCGGTATTCTAAAAGTTAAATATCAAAGGAAACATCACCGATTAATTATGGTCTTGTTTATATACAAACAGGAGTACGTCAGCCGCCCCTCGCTACGATTGTCGGAACTAAAAAACTCAGTTGATTGTTGCGAATTAAACGCTCTAGTCGCATCCGGCATTGGCGGCGATATCAAAATTTAAATTAACAATAAAATGATAATAATTTTATTAATTTTCGCGCTATTCGATCGCGTCGTTACGCAGAGTTGCATTATAAACGTTACAAAAGACATCACTGGTGCTAAACTTTTGAAAGACAACTCTTTTTTTGTAGACGGCGTGTTATTCCCCAAGAAACATGTGTTCGAAAGGAATGTTAGTGGTGAAATGAAAACGTACGGATGTATTTGTGATTTGAAGAAGTGTTTTCATAAGTGTTGTCCTTTGAATCAAGTGATGTATAAGAAAATATGTACTGAAATGCCTGGTATGGATATGATTATGAATGGTGATCTCAGTTTGAATTATGTAGATAGTTTTAAAAGAAGTTTAGATGTTAACAACAGTGAGTTTGCTCTTGTCTACGGTAAACCATGCAGTGCTGTATACTTGGAAATACAAAAATGGTATTTGCAAGAGGTAAGTTCGAAATTTTTTATTTTTAATACACAATAACTATTCAACATAAACTTAAAATCCTTTTTGTCCCTGGCACTCTCAGATGGGACTTGAACCTACGACCTTTCGTAATCCGGGCGACTGCTCTAACTTCTTCAAGCATTTTTAATCAATAATATTTTTCAGTATAACATTATGAATAAGAAATTTATCAAATATAATAATTCTTATTTCTCTTCTATTGGTTAAGTATATCTGCTTAAGTTAGGCCATTTTCATACAATAATAGTGTGGGCTCTGTAAGTAAAATTGCGCGCCTGTGTATGTTAAAATAGATAACTTGTCGTAAGGCGACCTAACTGGTAACTCGATGTAAAATACTTTTTCAATGCAGTTGCTCATAAAGAGCTATTTTTTTAATCCATTGTAAACACCGAAAGTGAGTCTTTAAACACGTGTTATATAAAAATGTACTGAAATCCTTTATTGCACACGTGCTTAAAAGTATTTTTTTTTGGCCGAGCACCAAACAAATTTAAAAAAAATTGATGAAAATATGTCAAACTTTAGAGGCAAAAGTATTTCAAGGAGCCTAGAACGAATATTTTAAATAAAAATGTATGACACGAAAAAATTTTCAAATATAACGTTTAATTTTAACAAATAATTTTTACCTTTAATACATACTTAGTTTTATTTACCTATATATTTGTTTTATTTCCTCGCAAAAAGCATTGAAAAATGGCCCTTATTCGTAAAACCTTACTTTCCGCACTCGTATCTTAAATAACTATTAAACACGCTACCTAAGCTAAGCTACTTTACTATAACAAATATCTGATGCATACAGCAGAATTGAGAAAAGTACACAATCTCAACTGATTACTCACTATAATTTAAGTTTTTAAGTTTCACAAGTTAAACCTCCCTAGTGTTATCAAACTTCTATCAACAAATCATTGAGAAACTAAATTCAGAATCACAAACCTTTTTGAGTGACGTTTAAGTTTAGTTTGAGACGTTCTTAACTTTAAATTCTCAATTCAGAAACCGAGTGTTAGTATTATAAAGGTAAAAGGAAATATCATTTATATATAAAGAAGGTAAATGTAAGATTTAACAAGCAACTGTTAAAGTCGAAATGCTACTATCACTTCGCAAATCTACAGCTGGAGACCTTGAGTATAATCGGATAAAACAAGGGCTGTTTTCCCTGTTTTCCCTGTTTTTTTATTTTTATAATAGAGAGCAAATGATCTTATATCATTGTAATTGAATAAGTTTCATTGATAACATGATATCATTTTGTATGAGAATATTTTTACTTCTGTAATAACAACTTTAACAAAAAAAATATCTTTTCGAACGGCATTCTTAATTTATAAAGTAATTGTCATGTAAAAAGTTTCGATATCTAATAAAAAAAGAAATAAATAATTGTACCTTATTTAATGGCCAAATTTGTAACTCAATTCCAATTAAATGCGGCTTCACGATATTTTCCTTGTAACCATTATAAATAGCATAATTTATATTTTCAGTCATGTAGGTACTGTGACTAATAATGCATTTCGTATAGCCGAACTAAAATGCAAAATGTGATGGCTGGCCTTTATAAAATATGTGATAAACTCGTTACGAGTAATCCTTTGACTTACTGTAAGTAATATTTTGAAGACGTTATAAAAAGTACAAAAAATTATCTTAATATATAAAAATTTTAACATAGAAAAGTAATTTTATGCTTATACATAATTTATTTTACTATCGACGAGATTAAGTTTATCGACTTCTGGAAAACAGACTTAATCAGGTAGGAGACATGACCCTTATACATAAATCCGTTGGGATTGCTGTTAGATTTTCGTTCCGAAAAGGTCTTACAGTTAGAACTTATATACTAAACGTGTAGGCTTCTAGCGTAAAGCCGAATGATATGCCATCATTGTTATTGAACCTGATGTCGCTGATATCTCAGATTTGCAAGTCTGATTTGAGGTTTAATAAAAGCCGATTTGATATCACAAATGAAAAATTAAATATATTTAGTGGCCACATACAAAATAATGTTCAATTTGGACTCCACCTCAGAATAAACCATCCAGAATAACCGGGCAACCAGTGCAGATTGCCCGGTTATTCTGAACAACCTGTGTAGTGTGTGTTTTAAGCTAATTTACAATGAATCTATACTAATAATAAAACTGAAGAGATTGTTTCTTTGAACTCCATGATCCCGCGAACAACTGAAACTATTTTTTTTGTGTTGAATAGTACATTTATCGAGGAGGCTATAAACATCACGCTTTGATTGAAAGGAACGGAAAAACAATGAAAAATGTTGCAAAAGCAGGAGAATATTTTACTAAATCTTTCCTTGCCTTATGCAAAAAATCTATGTATTACGAAATTGATCCCCTTTAAAAGTTCTGAAAAAGGCCGCGGCAATATATGGTCTGTCTTATGTCTTATCCCAAAAAAAGTACAAAAAGGGATGAAAATGGGACTGGAAGTTCGTGTAAGGTATTATATCGTTACTAAAGAAATCATTGTTTTCAATTCAATCTGTCATTGCAATTATATTTCACGTCATCCTTTTCCAAATCTATTGTTAAACGATTGTTTTAAATAATTTTAATCGCTACAATCGTTGGCGCTCATATTAAATGCATATGTTATGTTGGTACAGGTACACGAAAATGTTACATTTAGCTGACGCTACTAATCACTAGATGATACTACTGTACTTTTAAAACGGGATTTTGTTTTTTGTTATGTTTATAGTCTTTATTTTTGCCAATATTTATCAAACAAATAGCTTGCGTTTTTCATTCAATAACATTATTTATTGGGGAAATAAATTGTTTACGCTAGATGACGCTACCGTATTTTTTATGGGAAGATCGTTTTTCCATTTAGTCAATCTTAGTCAAATATCCTCCCCCCTCCACCAACTAAACGGTTGTTGTTAGAAACGGAAACGTTACGGTAATAGTATCTTTATATATAACAAATTTAATTGAAAAACTATTACACAAGTTGACTTTACAAATTGACGAGTAATAGTCGACAAAATGTATTTAACTTGAAAATTTGGAAAAACTCCTTTAAAAACAATAATGATTTCCTTTTTCATGGATAATGGTACTGGAAATCTCGTGCACGAGTCTGACTTGTTCTTGCCGGTTTTTTAAAATAATATATTTTAATGGAAAATTATTGATCGTATGTCTAAATTATATATAGGTAGGTTACTTTAATAATAACCAGAGGCTGTTAAATTATGTTTGCGAAAAATGTAATAAACAGCCGATAATTATGAATTACTAAAAATAACAAAAATACTTGAAATGAGCTACTTATTAAATAATAAATTGGGCAAAAAAAAAACTGAGTGGACGAAACTACATTCTTTCGATACCTACAAATTTAAAACCATCTCTTAGTATGTAGAATATCCATTGACAAATTTTCACGAACGTCACGCACTCTAAAATTGCTGAATTGAGAAAGTAAAAATAAGCTGACCATCCAGTTACTATGAGGATCAGGCTTAGAATCTTACACGAGCAAAGCATCAGGCTGTTTTAAGCCCTTAAAATTAAGTCTTTATCTGAAAGTCCAGAAAAAGCACAGTAGTCAAATATCATAATTCAAGCAAAATGAGGACGTGACAAAAGACTTCAATAAAAGGATTATTATTTCAAATACATAAAACATTTGTTTGTATTTTTGGCAAGACGTGTCGGTTCTACTGATCACTTAAATGTAAAGAAGAGCGCATTATTCATAGAAACATTGGTAGATTTTTCGTATTTGGTCCCATCTATGAGTCAAGCCTATGCCACAGCATTAAGGATGCTGAGCTAATGATGATAATATAAAGATGGACGCTTACTGACAGATTTTAAAAGCTCAATCCTCCAGTGTGCTCACAGTACCCTCGGAGCACGAGGGCAAAGGCGCGGGTTACAACTAGTTTTATATAATTTTCGATGTCTTCAATATATCTAATGTTACGCAACTACGCACTGATAATGAAACCGGCTATAAAAAAAACGTAATAGATTCCATGAGTTGTTGAAATTATTTTTAGTGCTTTGACGATCGAACATTTCAGCAAGTACAAGATATATTTTGTTTTATAACTTCCGTTGTAAGATATTCTTTTTGTGTGGCCCAATAAATATATATCATCGGTATATTCTTTAAGGAAAACAATGAGCAAAACTCCAGTCGCTTTTTAACAGAAGTGGAAGTTGTATATATAACTCCTTGACCTAAAAACTACACGGTATAAGAAAATAAAAATAAACATTTACGAATGAAAGTCATCCCAGTTTATTTTTGGGTCACAATACAATTAACAGAGATCTGTCAGCTAATAGTCTAATTTCAAAATCTACTGCAATCCTCCTCAAAGGTTCCAAAGGTCCCATTATGATAGCGATTTCCGGAATTATGCAACATTTAAAGTCCCGATGGCTTTCATAATCAATGATTGTAACTTAAAATAAATGAAATTTTATGAATGTAAGATATTGAGGAAAGTGAAGATATAGAAGATTTTATTTAAAGCATTAACTATTTACAATGAAATTTTAATTTTAATTTAAATTTGCTACACCCTTACAGGGTGTCACATAAACTGTACCTAATAATAACACCAGTTTTACTATGTGACATGCAATAAATGAATTATTATTATTATTATTACTTCTAATGCTTGCCGATTAACGATATCGTTAATTCAATATCTTCTAAAAAGCTGTCGTAATGTTAAAAAATAATAATAATAATATAATCTTTATTGCACACATACAGACAGGAAAACAAAACGAAATTACACGGTAAACAATACAGAGTACACAAAATGTTAAATAGTTGTAGATTGAAATTTTTGAAAATCTTTTAAATGTCAAATTGTAAGTGATTGCGTTATATGTTCAAATTCTAAAATTAGGCCTCTGGTTAACGTCAACTGATGTTAATGTGGAGCGGATGGTAGTAACAAATAAGAA